TATTATTTTACAAGTTGATTTTAAATATTTATACTATTATTTAAATCATTTTAGAAGTTGATTTTATAAAATTTTTAATCCAAAAAATGAATTTTAGTTCTCACTTAATTGCATAAAATTTCATGTAGGTTCTAATTTCTTCAATAATACTCCTTCTGTGTTTGGATTTGATCTTCTCAATTGACTTTTCTTGTCAATTTTGTATACTATAACCTCGATATGTAGAACAAACATTGTCTTTCGATAGAAATTCATTACCAATAACTTCTTTTTAAAACTAAGGAATCTCTTAATGTTTGGTAGCTCCTATTTTGGAGATAAAAAATATGCATTTTTATTTTGGTATTTTCTCCATGGTTATTCCTATTCTGGTACAGAGTATTTTTTTTCAAATAATTTTTTACAACTTAAATTGGATCTACCCATATTTTGATTAAAATTTCCACGTTATTCAATCGTTAATAGGTGGAGGGTGATTTGTTAAAATCTTGTCATGTAGATTCGCCACTTGTCGCAATTCTAAGAGTTTAACTCTCATATTTAATATATAAAGATTGCACCTTGAACTTTTTGCACAATTTTTCTTACTTTTTTCTTATTCTAAATCTTAATTGTCACAAATCTTCTCACGCTCCCCTCCACACCTTATCTTCTTTGTTACAATCTTCTTTGCATAAATATGTGTCATCTCATAAAATATCATCCTATTAACTTTCCATGTACGATTGCGTAAATGAAAACACAGGAAGTAAGTCTTTTCTCGATCAAAATTTCTTAATGTTATGTATAAATATTTTGAATTCTAACACAATATAAGTATGTACTGAGTAAATCGTAAGTTACAGTATAAGATTATTTTGATTAAAATAGTAAACCAAGTTACCAAGATAAACTATAAAAGTCTTATTAAATCTTTTTTCTAATTTGTTTATTTTAAATATTCAATATTTTAAAAATAGTCAAATTGTATGGAAATATTACTTTTATATCATATCATAATTAGTCATCTTACCATAAACAAAAATTTTAAGTAAGATATGCATTGAGTCTATCTCATAATATACGTATTATTCATTTGTCTAAAGATAAAGTACATAATCATTACACGTATAATTCTCTTAAAATATATAGTCTTGAGTAATTTCAAAATAGTCTTTTCGAATAAGATATTTACCAAAATCAGTGTTATTAAGCATTAATTATTTATATAGTACTTTATAGTTGAGATTTGTTCACTCTGTGTCATCCATATAAGTTTGTTAAATGGATGTTCAGTGGAGGAAATTTGGATATTTCCAATATTTAAATGTAGAGTAATTTTTCAAAATGAATCTTTCGGATTAACCTTTTTCCAATTTAGGTCTCCGTTATAATAATTATAATTTTATCCCAATTCTGCATTTATTGACACCTTAATTTTTTGTGTCTCTCTATTAGCAACTCATGTTCTCGCAAGTAAATTTTGAGTGAGGATGACCTCGCCTCCGATCCCCCACTTCATATCTATGTAGAATTTAGATAAAATTCACATATGAAAAATACGTGATTGGTTTTTTTTGCAAATATTGTTTTCTTGTATATTTCTCATGCAAATATTTTTGTGTTTTTTTTAAAGTAGTTGTTGTGACTTAAATGAAGTCAAAAGTGAAATACCTATGATTATTTTAAAATGTTTTTGTAATTTTTCTTTGTGAAAACCTTGCAACTATATTTGTTTTGCTGTTTAAAAATAAATTCATATCAAGTGAAAAAGATTTGGATGTAAATATATGTGATTGTTTTTATGTAATAATTTTCTAAACTTTTATGTGAAAAATATAACTATTATTTTTAAAACTGACCTTAGAAATTTTTACTATTATTTTAATTATTTTTGAAGTTGATTTTATTAAATTTTTAATCAAAAAAATGAATTTTAGTTCTCAGTCAATAAAATTTCATGTAGGTTTTAATTTCTTCAATAATACTCCCTCTGTGTTTGGAATTGATCTTCTCAATTGTCTTTTCTTGTCAATTTTGTATACGTTAACCTCGATATATAGAACATTGTCTTTCGATAGAAATGCATTACCAATAACTTCTTTTTTAAACTAAGGAATCTCTGAATGTTTGGTAGCTCCTATTTTGGAGATAAAAAATATGCATTTGTATTTTGGTATTTTCTCCATGTTTATTCCTATTCGGGTACAGAGTATTTTTTCCAAAAAATTATAGCGACACTGTACATAAGACATATAATCCGTATACAACTTCAATTGGATCCACCATTATTTTAATTAAAATTTCCATGTCATTCAATCGTGGACCCACTTATGACATGCGCCGTGCGCATGCACTAGTGTATACATACATTAATGAAAATATATAAATAAACGTGATATGGTTGTGGCTCCCAAAAGAAAACTAACGATAGCGCCATCTCTTGCGATCTCTATCTCCAGCCAATCATATTCTTTCTCTTTAGTGATTATCTCTTCATCAAACCTCTCCGGCCATGCTGGTCTTTTCTTGAATATAATGATTACATAATCTCAAAGAAAAGAATCCTTGTGTTACATGCAAGGGTATGAGGTTCAAAAGAGAGAGATTTACATTCAGAAATAAAGAGATAAGGCACGACACGCAGATCATATTTAAAATAATAATAATACTAAGCCACAAGCATACACCATGCATAACGACCATACATCAGATGCAAATAGTTAAGCAAATACCGGGCAAAACCGCGTTCGCTCAAGACTTAGTTTATTCAACGAGAAAATAAACTACAAATCTAAAACAAATAATTAAACTATCAAATAATTTAATTAAAAACATTTTAAAGCACTTGAATATTCAAAATAACATTTTGAAATTTCTAGAGTTTTATAATAATATATTATCATAAATATAGGTATTAATTTTGAAATTGGGATTTTAATTCGAAATAAATATTTATACTTTTTTATAATTAATAAATAAATTCCAGAAAATATTTTTTGGTTTATTTAATCTGAAAATCAGATTTCCGAAATTCATATAATTATTATTTCCGTATTTATACAATTCACGGCGTAGAGACATAAATTAATTTCCAAACTTAATTTTGAATATTCCCAATATTCCAAAAATCAAAGTTTTTTTAAAAAATCGAATTTTGTCTCATACCAAACCTGAAAAACAAATTTCTAGATTTTAGAAAAAATTATTTCTAATTTATAAAATTTAATTGGTAGAAAACTAAATTAATTTCTAAAATTTAATTATCGGTATTTAAAAATTCTAGAAATCATTATTTTCCAAAATTAAAGATTTTATCTCCTACTTGATCAAGGAAATCAAATTTCAAAATTTTTATAAATTTTATATTCAAAATTTCCATACTTATCTTTGTAGGAAGTAAATTAATTTCCAAAATTAATTCCAAATATTCAAAATATTCCAAAAAAACATATTTACCAATAATATAGACTTTTTATTTTACTCGAACATGGAAACCGAATTCTCATCTTGGTTTATTTTATTTTCTTGAATATCTCAATTATTAAAGAAGGAAACTGAAAACAATTCCTCTAAATTATTCTCGTAAATCCAAAATTTCCAAAAATCTATATTTACGAAATATACCGATATAATTTCCGTTATAATATTTTCTAGAAAATAAAATATCATATTTATATTTAATTAATAATTAACACGGTAATACCTAGATTACTAAAATTAAATTATAAATAAATACAAAATATGTATTTTTAATTTCAATATATATTCCAGAATAATTTTATACAATCTGAAAATCATATTTCCAAACTTATAAAATTATATTCTCAAAATTTAAATTTTAATTCCAATTAATCACTATTAATTAAAAATTAGCTCTACTTAATTACGAAAAATAGAAAATAAAATCCGAAAATATAATTATCCCAGAATAATTATAAATGATGTTTATCTTATATTTATTTTTCGATTAATCAAATTATCTATAAAATCAAATTAATACTCAAAATAAGAAATTTATTTTAGAAAATTTAATTTTATGTTTCGTGAATGCTTAAAATAATATTTTAACATTCCAGAATCATTAAAATTACTTTTCGAATTTATTAAGTATTTATTTTGTATTGTAACCAATTAAACTACAAAACTACACTTAATAGATCAAATAGAAAAATAAACCAAAATTAACTCCAAAAATCATATTTTAAAATTATATAAACTCTTGAATCATTTTTTGAAATTTTCATTATTTTGGATGATTTACAAAATTCATGCATATCTGGATTAAATTTATCAATTAGCAAAATCTACAAAATTTATAATTTTGTAAGCCGGCTTCGATACCACTGTAGGGTAACCATGCATGGATAGCATAACTGAAAAAAAAATTTTTATGTCCAATCTTCTTTACCACCCAAGATCGTCTTACAAAAACTATACATTATTATAAAGAAGAATACCTTTTCTCATAGAAAATAGATTAAACAGTGTGTTGGAAAACATTTTCACTTTGACATTTTGCTAATGACAATGTTTGTTTCCATTTAGGTTTAGATATTGACAAACCGTCGGGAACATGGAACAAAATGAAAAGATTCAAAGAGATAGAAAAAGTTCTTTGAAGAAACAAAAAGCACAAGAAAGGCATTGACGCTGCTAAAGATGGCGACATAGGCGTTTTGAAGACAATCTAAAGACTTAGGTTTTATTGTAACAAGTTCATTCAATTTCTCTACGTCATGGCTCAAAATAAAATATGTTTTTCATGCATCAAATGAGTGTTTTCATAAATGGTTTTTAAGTTTCTAAAACCCATGGTTCTTGCTTAACCAAAACCATAACCATCGGTTATCGGCGTTCGGCTATGACGTTCGGTTTTCGGCATTGGTTATTGGCATTGATTTTAACCAAATGGTTTTTGGGTTTTTATCTTTGGTTTATGCTTCTGGAAACATTTAAAGTTTTTCCAAATGATTAGTTTTCAAAAACCATAACCTTTGTTTTTCGGCGTTGGTTATCAGCATTCGGTTTTGGTTATCGGTGTTAGTTTTTGGCGTCCAAATCAATCAAGTGGTTTTTAATATTTTATTATTGGTTTTTACTTATGGACATATCCAAATGGTTCTCCAACAAAAACATGTTAAAAACCACCTTTCGTTTTTGGTCTTTTGGTGAAAACCATGTGAAACGGCATAAACTTGGCTAGCCGTGGTTTTTACCTTAATGAAGTGGTTTTTAAGTTTTTATACTTGGTTTCTACCTAAAATACATTATATAAGAGTTTCCAACACTTGGTTTTCATTTTGGAGAAACTTTGGTTTTTGACATCGGTTTTCGGCGTTGGCTGCCAAACCATGGTTCTGGCAAACCATCCCGACATGCATGTCGGAAATCCCAACAGCGATGTTGGCATTCAGAAGCCCTGGGCAGTAAGTTTTTGAACAGCGATGTTCATTGTTGAACAGCGATGTTTTCAAATGACCGTTGGACTATTTAAGACAAAATCTTTCCTTTTTTGAAAGTCAAACACCCCAACATCGATGTAGACTTCTAGACATCGATGTTTTGATGAATGTTAGCCACTTTTAAAGGAAACTCAAAGCCAAAACAGCGATGTTCACTATATGAACAACGCTGTCGGGCTAGATTTCAGTAGATCCACTTTTATTTGATTTCCACAAATCAAGCCAATCAACCCCAATCTTTTCCCAACCGTTGCACCTTGTTTTTGGGTATAAAAAGGGGTCTCTTGGGTCTACTTTTCACAACTATTCCACACACATTTCATAGCTTTACATTGCATCATTTCATAAACTTTTTACATAGCTTTTTAGAGCCATTTTATGAGGAATTGAGTGTGTTTTTGATCTAAATTAGTTTACTCATATTCTACTCTTTAAGAGAGTTTTTGTTCTTGAGTGGCTAATTGTTGTGAACACTTTAAGGGAGGTTTGTTCCCTTGGTTGTACGAAGGAAGGGCATATTCCTTCGAGTTGAAGTCTTGGAGTGCGGTATCTCCGAGCAAGTGTATTAAGGCTCGTGGGACTCGAGTTCTCAGGTTGTAACGGTTTGTTAAGCACCCGAAAGCTTAACGGAAGTAGTGTAGCTCGAGAGAGTCTCTCGGGAGACTGGACTAGCCACACGTTGTGGTGAACCAGTGTAAATCTTGGTGTGCTCTCTTTACGCTTTTTTACGCTATTTACTTTTTACGTTCTTTACTTTATCCCTACGATTTTTATTCCGCAAAAAATTATAAACATTCTCGTGCCTCACTATTCACCCCCCCCCTCTAGTGAAGGGCACTTATTCTAACAATTGGTATCGGAGCCTAACTCTCTACAAGTCTTAACCGGTTGAGAGAACGATCTATATCTTTTTTTGTTAAGAATGTCGTATGCAGGATTAAGTGAAGGACACTCCACCGTTAGACCTCCACTCTTCGATGGAACAAACTACACCTATTGGAAGGAACGAATGTGGATTTACATTTGGTCAATCAACTTCCAACTGTGGTTAATCATCAAAAATGGTGAGACGATGCCAATGAAAAAGGTTGGTGAAACCACCATCCCAAAGAAGGAGGAAGAATATGATGCCGAAGACATCAAGAAGGTAGAAGCTTTTGAAAATGCTAAACACGTGATTTTTTGTGCATTTAACCTGGATGACTATCGGAAAATTTCTTCTTGCTCCACCGCAAAAGAAATGTGGGATAAGCTTGAAGTGACATACGAAGGTACGCCTCAAGTCCGTGAAGCTAAAATTGATTTTCTAACCCATGAATATGAGTTATTTAAAATGAAGGAAATTGAAAGAATTGATCAAATATTCGACCGATTTTTAAAGATCATCAACGATCTCCATGTCCTTGGTAAAACATACTCGAACAAAGATCTTGTTCGAAAAATCCTTCGGAGCTTAACATCAGAATGGCGTTCAAAAGCTGATGCCATATATGAGTCAATCGGTAACACCAATGTCACCATCGATGGTCTTCGAGGTAATCTTAAAACTTAGGAATCTACAGTTCTTAAACCTTCTCTTCACAAGAGTCCCGGTCTCGCTCTCAAAGCCTCATCCTCAAAAAGGGTAGAGGTAAGTGACTCTAATAGCGATGACGATAATCCTTCTTATAACTTGCTCGAGAAGTTCCAAGAGTTTTTGAAGGAAGAACTTAGGTCCCGAGATATTAAAAGAAAGAGGGAACCCATTCCAACGTGCTTTGGTTGTGGAGAACTTGGCCACATAAAGTCATATTGCCCATACCGCAAGGAAAAGAAGAAGAAGGAACGAGCATACATGGCATGGGATTCGGAAAGTTCCGGTGACGAAACTTCCACCTTATGTCTTATGGCTCATGAACAAAATGGAGAGGTAAGTGCTTCTAACTCTTTCTCATTTGAAGAATTACAAGAAGCCTTTCAAGAATTATTTGGTGAATTAAAGAAAACTTCAAAAATTGCAAAAGAGGCTAAGGTAAAAATTCATGCTTTGGAAGAGGAAAATAAATTTTTGGAAAATGATAATTTTGACCTCAAAAATAAAATTAAGGCAATGAATGAAGCTTCTTCCTTTGACCAAAGTTCTACTTGTTCCTCTTGTGAGTCTTTAAAAATAGAGAATGTAGAACTTAAGAGCACCATAGAAAAACTTAAGGTAGAAGAACCTAAGAAACTTGGTGAAGAAGTTAATAATGATAAACCACCTAGAAGAGCAAATAATCCTAGGAATAACAAAATTAATTTTAGAAAGAATAAAAATAATAAGTTGAGACAACCTAGAAATGACTCTAAGATTTTTATAAATGATAGAAATAATTTGAGGCAACCTAGAAATGAGT